TGACTGATCCTCTTAGGATTTCCGCAACATTCCCAGTCATATGATCAAAATTTGGGTGCTTGGCAACCAGCTTGTATTTACAATGGTTGCAGCATCTTAGAGTCATGCTCACTTAACAACTGCAGTGATTTGCTTAACAACCATTGTAAAATTGGACACAACTCACAACTGCCTTGCTTAACAATGGACATCCTGATCTCAGTTATGGTTGTAAGTCAAGGGCCACTTGTAGTTTCTTCACTGCAAAATACATGTTAATTAGCATAGATCAGTGAAGGTTGATATCAACAGTGGCATCTACAGAATCTTGCTGTAGAGTTGAAGTATGCCACAAGCTCTGTCCCTTTTGAGTTGGCATGCTAGTTGCAATAAGATAGAAAAGGAGCGGGGCAATACTGCAATACTGTTTAATGACTTTTGCCAAGAGTACAAAGGAAGATGAGATTGGGCAGCCCAAAGAGTTAGAGTAGAATTGGGAAGTGAATAAAACTGATACAAACTAGTACAAACATAAGAAATCAATTAGGCATTAAGAAAGCAGTTGAACAGATATGAAATTAGGAGTCAAAAGTGGAGGAAACAGGATTCTCAAATATTAAGGTAACTAAGAAGACATGAAGGTGTAGGATCACAAGAAGAGATGATAGGCTTAGCGGATTCCATGGAGTCTGCAGTGAAATTTGAACTGGAGACTTCCACAAGGGAAAGACGTTGTTTGAAGGAATTGAGGGGGAACGAACAAAAGCTAGAATTTGAGGAAAACACAGGCAGACACATAGGGAGACAAAATAGAGAAGCAGAGGTTAGCCCGAAAGCAATGAATAGGAAAAGGAAAAAGAAGAAGAAATGGTTAGCCTATAAAATGAGACAACCTCAGCACAGGAAAAGAGTCACACCTTTAGTGTAGGACAGGCAGAAAGTTTGAAAGCCAAGAAAATAAGACACAAAATTCAAATTAAAGAAGAGACTTATGAGCAAGAGGCAGCTTATAAAAATAAATGAAGCAGGGGTGGGATTCTACTGGTTCGGACTGGTTTGGTAGAACTGGTTGTTACACTTCTGTACAGTTCAGAGAACCGGCAAATCGTACCCCTGGCTGGCACCGCCCCCTCTGCTCTCCCCTCCCCTCCCTTCCCAGTCAGTCCTTATTGCACATGTATGACATTGCTGCCTGCATTCTCCCACCCACCATTGCTCCCTGCAGCAGCCAGCCAGCCAGCCATCGCTGCCCGCCTGTGGCCCTGCCTGCCTGATCTGGGTGACTGGAGCTCTGTAAGCCCTGGTTGCCACTGCTGCCAACCTGGTTGGGTGCCAACTCCTGGGCCACCAAGCCACCCTCACCGATGCTGCCTGCTTTGTCTGGCCACCATCGTCACCCAGCTGCCATCTTAGCCTGGCCACCATCCTTGCCAACCCGTGGCCCACCATTACTGTCTGGCCTTCCACCACCGCTGATCAGTGAGGTGGCAAGCAAGCCCCGCTGGTCACTTAACTGCTGCCATGGCTGCCAGCCCCAGTCAAGTGCTGACTCCCGGGCTGCCCAACTGCTCTCGCCTATGCTGCCTGCCTCGTCCGGCCACCATCTTTGCCCAGCCACCATCTTTGCCTGCCCGCTGTTGCTGAAGATGCAGATTGGTGAGTGAGACTCCAAGCAAGCCCTGGTCACCTACCTGTCAGCCACTGCCAGCCCCGGTTTTGTCCTGATGATTCCTGGTTGTCCAGCCACTCTCCCCGACACTGTATGCATCGCCCAGCCACCATCTTTGCCCAGCTGCCATCTTTGCCCACCTGTGGCCCACCGTTGCTGCCTGGCCTTCCACCGCCAATCGGTGAGGAAGCAAGCAGCGAGCCCTGCTGGTTGACTACCTCCTCCTGCCACCATCGCTGCCAGCACCAGTTGAGTGCCAACCACCGGGCCACCCAGCTGCCCTCACCGATGCTGCCTGCCTCACCCAACCACCATTTTCACCTGCCCGTGGCCCACTGTTGCTGCCTGGCCTTCCACCGCTGGTTGGTGAGGAGGCAAGCAGCAAGCTCCGCCGGTCGATTACCTCCTTCTCTCGCCACTGCTGCCAGCCCCAGTTGAGTGCCAACTCCCAGGCCGCCCAGCCACCCTCACTGCAGCAAGGTCTCCAGTGCCAAGTGGACACCAATGTAGTTGGCCAGCTAACTTGCCTGCCTTGTGCCTTCACCTAATTTTTGGTAAGTTGCTATTTTTTATTTATTTATGTATTTATTTATTTTTAATATTTTTTTATTCATAAAAACAAAACAGATACTAAAAATAAGTACATAAAAACTATTTTACTATTATTGTTACATGTTGATACTTCTGTGTTTCTCCTTTGCTTTCTTCCTATTAGGAAAAACCAAAAGAAAAACAGAAATGTCAACATGTAACAATAATAGTAGTTAACAAAATAATTTTTATTCATATATTTGTTTTTAGTATCTGATTTGTTTTTATGAATAATAAAAACAAAACATATACTAAAATTAGTAAAAATTATTTTAATTTTACCAGGTAAATCAGACACGAAGCATGATTAGATAAACCCATTCTATTTTATTGTAAAGATATGTTAATGAATTCTTGCAAGTACAAAAGTACAAACTTCCCACCTCCATTTTTAACTGTTTGATAGGACAGGTCCTTCCTTAATTTCTTTCTCTGACCCTTAAACCATCAGAGGCTCCTGCCTCTCTTGTCTGTTTCCTAGGCAGTGTCTCTTCTCTGATTCCCCAAAATCTCCAGAATTGTAAAGCCTACAAGCTTGAAATTTGGTACATATGTTCCTCTTGGCTTCTAGGTGCTAAGAAAGGATTTTTCGAAATGACCATCAGACAGGGGTAGGATTCTACCAGTTCGCACCTCTTCGCTAGAACTGGTTGTTAACATCCTAAGCAGTTCGGAGAACCGGTTGTTAGAAGAAATTACTGGCCTAATCCTGTAAGGAAGGCAGGAAGGAAACATTCTGGGGTTGCTTACAGAAACTGCCTGTTAACCCTTATTACATTCTTGGCAGGACTAGACTTCCTGTCTCTGGAACTTCTCTGGAGTTTTTTTCCCCTCCTTTGCTGGTACTTTGCTTGTGGAGTGACCATTCAAAGTTACAATGGCACTGAAAAAAGTGACTTATGACCATTTTTCACACTTATGACTGTTGCAGCATCCCCACAGTCATGAGAGGCCAGGCAAGGAGATGCGTGCCTCGATGTGATATTGAGTTGGTCACGTCCAGCGAATAACATGACCACCAAACCATGTCCACCTAGTCATGACCACCAAGCCACGCCCATCAACTAAGCCACGCCTACAGAACCAGTTGTTAAAAAAATTGAATCCCACCTCTGCCATCAGAGCATTAGTATTTCATGTATTATTAACACGCTCTGATGCTAAGGAGTTCTACTCCCCCTTCCCACCTGAAAAGAAATATGTTCCAAATGCAAAACACAAGCAAGTATAGAGAAGTTTTAGTTTCACTTTTTCACAGCAGCAAGCAGCTTTACTACAGAACAGTTGAGCTAAGCCATGCCCAGGCTCCTGTCTCCTTCTTGCTCACACAGCAAATACTGCTTCAGTTTCCAAACAGCCCTCAACTCTCTCACACACCGACAGGATGCTAGTCAGATGAATACTGATGGATGCTGGTAGGCAGAGGCACAATTTTTCCCCATTATTTTCCTCCCCCAAAACTAAGCCTGATCACATAGTTTCGTAGCGAAGCATAGGTATAAAGCTAGTGTTAGAGTAAGTGGAATGTTAGAATGTCATCCAAGTCCTGCTGTAGGCGTAACAACTAGACAAGAGCATCTATGGCAGATGCAAAGCAGCCTGTTCCACATCTTCAGCAAAAGACTATCCAAACGAAGGCCTTTGTATTTCTCCCAGTTTTATCTTATTTGATAATCCTATTTACAGCTCATCATCCAAATTGTTTATAAGATCAATGGCAGAAGATCTCGTGGTATGCCAGCTGAAGTTTTCTTCCAGCTTGCTATGCACTGATACAAACTTTTCAGGTCTGAATGTTTAACCAGCCGTAATTATAGTATAATCTAGTAATAGTTTTGCTATCTTCATTAGGATCAAATGGGAAAATTGTTCAAATATTTTACTAACATCAAACATATACTATACCACATACTATGTCCACCATGCAATTAAACTGGATACTCTATAAAAGAAAAAGATTAGAGTGGTTTGGCATGACCTGTTCATTTCTTTGAAAATGTATTATAACCTGTCCAACCTCTAAAAACAGAGTTAAAATGAAATGTAAATATAGAAATAGATGCATTGACATTCAAAAGGCCCCAGGGATCTGTATTTTAGGGTTTAATTTCATAAATGTATAGTTGATTTGGACTCATTTGGACTAATTTTTTTCAATATTCAATTTTAAGCATACCTGGTGGTAATTAAAATATTCTGTACTTAGCATTCAACTGAGTAAATTAAATAGCAATCATGCAGCTTTATCATTTTCAATGGTAAACATTGAAAAGATAATAATGTTAAGTAACTAACTTATAATATTTCTTACTGAAATCAAAACAACTGATTTACACACTTTTCTTAAAAATGTTTTAACTAAAAAGCTAAGTAAAAGCTTGTTATCCTTGTTAATACCATTTCTAAAGAATGAATTTCTGCTTTGCTGTGAAAATAGCTGAATAATTTAGGATTACTTACATTTTATTGAAAAAATGAAAGCTATTTTTTCCTTAGTGAAATCTGCTTTCCAAACAGAACTCTTTATAATTTATTTTACTGGAGTAAATAATAATAATAAAAAATAAGCATCTAAATATTATTACATATGGCACAGGTAATGAAAATATTCTACATGTTATCACAGAGGACACATCTACTGCTTTTAAACAAGCTTTCTCAAAGCAAGCAGGTATAAATATAACAATTTAAAAAGTATTTCAAATGAATTTGTCATGTGTACACATATTAGGAACAGTCAGCATTCATGCAACATTCCTACATTATAGATTTGCATTTATTTTTTCTAGATGCTTTTATATATTTTTTACAATGGATGATAAAAAGTATCTTCATTTAAAAAATATTTAACTGAAAGGCTGCAAGAAACCATATTTCAGTTTATATTGAAATTAGAATCAATCATCATTATCCTTAGGTAAGAATGCTTTTTCTAAGGTGCTAACAAATTTTTGTCTCATTTGTGCTTTGAATTGCTGATACCATTCCATAAGTATTTTCCTTCTTTGAATCTTTTGTTGAAGTGTCATATTTTGCTCTTTTTCTAAAACAGCAGGAAGCTCTTTCCAGTCTTTAATAAAGATAAAGGGAGCTCCTGTGGCCTTTAGTAATTGCAGTGGTGCTCTATGGTGCATAGATGAATTTCCACAATTGCCTGGTGTCATTACATCTTCTACCACAGGAACAGAGCCAAATGAACAAGCTTCATAGATTCTGTAGCATTCGGTATTTACTCCCACTGGACATAATGTAAGATCACTCTCCAACAATGCATTTTGATAGATCTGCAAACTCTCATTAGTTTCTTGAGGAGTCCACCTAAAACAAGACAACATCTGAAAATGCACTGTTTTTGAATAAATAAATATAAATAAATAAATATAAAGATTCACAATCTATTTTCAGTATAATACTTCAGTGTGGTAGCTACAGCAGCAATAGAAATGCCTAAAGATTAGGCAAATCATTAAAATCTATTTAATTATTACTACCATTATACTTAGTAACTAGATTATATTTTTATAAATTACCTTGAATAAACAAATTTCCTTTGACTTGAAATGGACTTCTAGTGATTTCTTGCACCCATTTTTGGCACCAGAGCAGCAAAATTGATTCCTCTGTCTATCCTATAATTTTATTTCCCTTGAAGATCTCAAGCCAATTTTGTTTAACATCTGAACTCAGATGATGCCACTTGCTAAGGGATGGTAGAGACACTCTTAGAAGGAAATTCACTGTCTCTGATCCTGTACCACATGGGTATCAAACTCGATCGCATCGCGTGACATATCGTGACTTTTTTGCCTTTGCAGAGTCAGGGTGGGCATGGACTGTGTGTGACACATCCAGCCCGTGGGCTGCCAGTTTCACACCCTTGCTATAGCAGAACTTCATTCTATTTCACACATTTAAATTTCATAAGTAAACACAACACCTAACAGCATTTTAAAAAGACATCAGTTAGAAACCTTAAAAACATTCTTATCCCCAATAATATTGGCTGTTTTCTTCCATGGTTATAAAGATGATTACATTATATTGCTACTGCAGTCAAGACAAATATACAATATTTTAATTCTCTTAAAGGTTTCATGATTATGATATTTCTTACTGTTCTCTAGCTGAAATCCAACAAAGCTTGTGAAGCCCACTTTGCATCAATATCTCCAACACAATTTCTCTAGATGAATTCTTATAAACAGTTCCCAAGAAGTTACACTGATATGGTCTTGGTCTTTGGAGCATTGACCAACTTGGTTCAACCACAGGAAAATGTCTATAACTATAAACGAAGAATTGTATAAGTATGCTAATTGAATTGAAAATAATATTTTATTACCGTGATGGCGAACCTATGGCACGCATGCCACAGGTGGCACATGGAGCCATTTGTGTGGGCATGCCAGTCCCAGCCAAGCTTATCTGCACTGCACATATGTGCGCATCCCAGCTGATTTTTGGCCCGTTTGAGGCCTTTTTCGGTCTCCCTGAGGCTTGAGGGAAGCCTCTGCAGTCTTTGGAGGCCAAAAAATGGGCCCGTTTCATTTTTGGCCTCCAAAGGCTGCAGAGGCTTCCCTCGAGCCCCCGGGAGGGAGAAAACGGCCTCCTCTGGGCTCCAGCGGCCCTCTGGAGGCTGAAAATGGGCACTTCCAGTATTTCCAGAAGGACCATTTTTTGGCCTCCCAAGGCTGCAGAGATTTCCCTCAAGCCTCAGGGAGGCCAAAAATCAGCTGGGAGGTGCGTGCAGGTAAGGAAGTAGGGAGGGGGTGTTGAGCACACATGTACAGGGTGGGGTGGGGCACACTGTATTGTAGGTACTGGCACGTGCGTATTTTTGACACACCACACCAAAAAGGTTCACCATCACTGCTTTATTAGGTCTGTTAAAAGAGAACAATCCTTATATGGTCTGGGAATAACTGAACACAGTGGTATTTATTTTTCAATTTGGCAACACAGGATTGTACTGTCATCTACTTCTTGTTTATAAGAGCAATTTTACAAAGTTTAAAATTTTAAATTATTTTCATGTTAATTTTATATACAAGAATCTGAGGAAAACAGTTCAAATTTCATACAAATTTTAAAATTGTTGTTTGATAACATTCAGTACTTACGTTGCTACTCCCAGAGGCCACTGAAAAATATCTTCTTCATTTATTATGGGGCTGTCATAAATTAGAAAAAATAGTTCTACAAACCCTCCATAGGATTTTAAATAAGGATAAATCCATTCATTCTTGCACTGTTCATTCCCAAGCAACACAACAGCAACATGCTGCAGCCTGTGTGCTTGCATTAGTGTCCGTGCATAATGTAACCACTGAGTGGCGTAGGAGATCTTTCCCTCTTCTCTGCCATTCAGTATTAAGACAATAGTTTCAGCTTCCACAGAGAAGTAGCCAGGAACTAGAGATGGGCCTGTGATGAAACTGTAAACAACAAAGCACAAACAGAAAAAAGTGCACAAGTAGGTGTGTGTGTGATGTATGTTTCACATACACACCTATACATATACATACATAGAGCCAGTTTAATTAACTGTTGCCACTTGTCTCACTGGTGTTAAATGTAACTTTACTCTTCTCTTCTATAGGATGTATAAAACTTCTCCAACACCCAAAAGTTCATTTTAATCAGTCAATGTCAACCCTTAATGCAAAGTCTTAAAGCCCACTGTGATGACAATGTGGATGTGAAGTGAAATGCAACAGTGCAGCTATTTATCATACAAATACTGAGACTACTACTTGAGGCTGCTGAGATTTCTGTTAGCATAACAGTATCCTTTTGTCCCGTTAGGTAGTAGCATTTAGCCAATCTTGGTGAATTTCAACACTTTAAGGATCCTGGACCTGATTAGCTAAATGAAAGATTGCTTTAAGATTGCACTGAGGAACTGAAGAAATATCCTGCTCAATACAATGTGTCTAAGTTGAATTCAGTTCTGTACATCTACCATAACATCATATTTCTGAAAGCAAACCAGTAAGATAGAAACAAAAGGATTGCTTTGGTTTTAAATTTAACAATCCTAAATGTAAAGAGAATCTAATCAGTGCAATCAAAGCTGAAGTAGCCTATGCTTTTCAGGAAGGACAGCTGACTGATCACGTGATCTGCCCACTAGCTATCTTATCAGTTCATCTTTCACAGAAACATATCCTTCCCCTTAGTGTTTTGCTATAATATAAGCTCTAATCCCTAGGCAGTTTCATTTTTGGAGGCTGAAAATATTATACTTTAAGGGTACCCACCTGGATGCATCACTGCATCCAGGCTAGATGGTAGTATTATATGATAAATGTAAAGAGACGGCTTTCTCAAATCAAGCAAAGTAATTTTAAAAAAGCACACAAAGTATTTTTTTTCCTCCACTTATGGTGCTGAATTCAGAATTCCCAAGCTGCATATCTCATTTTTAAGGAAGTGCAAAGCCATTCAGCATTCCCTTATGTAGTAATTATTTTATTTGGATTAAGGTTTGGTTTATTAGTCTTCATCCAATCAAAATCTATTTCCAGATACCTGTACAAAATTTTCTGAATCTTCCCAGGATTTGGAAGTGCAAAATAAAGCTATATATCAGCTACATACTGAGGATAACTTAAAAAATGTAAGGAAATGCTGGCCTCTTTTGCTAAGGTGACATTTTAGTAATCATACTCCCTATGGTTACTAGGGGGATGCGTTGGCTCAGTGGCTAAGACAGTGAGCTTGTCGATCAGAAAGATCAGCAGTTCGGCGGTTCCATTCCCTAGCATCACATAACGGAGTAAGTTCCCGTTACTTGTTCCAGCTTCTCCCAACTGAGGAGTTCGAAAGCATGTAAAAATGCAAGTAGAAAAATAGGGACCACTTTGGTGGGAAGGAACAGCGTTCCGTGCACCTTCAGCATTTAGTCATGCCAGCCACGTGACCATGGAGACGTCTTCGGACAGCATTGGCTCTTCGGCTTTGTCACGGAGATGAGCACTGCCCCCTAGAGCTGGAAATAACTAGCAGGTATGTTCAAGGGGAACTTTTACCTATGGTTACTATATTCTAATATAGGTATGGGTAATCTTATCTAGCAAAGTCTGATCACTATAGAAGTAATCAAGAGCTGCTGATTATATCTATGACGCATGGGGAAAAAGCCAGAAGAGGTGAAATCAGACCAAAAATGTCTGTCCTTTCATCTTCATAAAACAGTTTAGAAAACTGATAAGATCCAATTCATTTCCTTTTTCAAGTAACAATAGTTTATTATTACAGGTTAGGTAAATTTTCTGTATTGAAAATCACTTTTGAAATGGTTTACTGCTGCTAATGGAATATAAAAAACTAAAAATAAAAATCTGTGTATATATATATATGTATGTGTATGTATATGTGTATGTATATGTGTGTGTGTGTGTGTGTGTGTGTAAAGAGTAGGGTCTAGAACAGGGCTATCAAACTCCTGGTCTCCGGGCAGATGCATCACATGCTGGGCACGCCCACGCCTGGTTTAGCAAACAGGGAAAAAGTCCCAATACATCATGTGACACCACCATGATTACTTGAGTTTGACACCTCTGGTCTAGAACAAACAAATCAAAGGTTCCTCAATTCCAGTTTTAAGAATCTATTTATTTCCCCCATTGGCAACAGATATTTTTAAGTATTAAATAGGACTGGAAGAATCCATGTTGTTGAATAAACATTCTTAATGGCATTTTCCATTATTAAACATGCCAAATTATACAAAACATTACATTAGGCTATGAAAATACTATCAGTATATTGAAAAGAGAGATCATACAGATGATACCTGAAATATGATTTTCCTATTTTTATGCTTCCTTCTCTCCACTGAGCTTTTATATCTGTAGGCTCAAGCAAACCTTCGAAGATATGCTGCCATAAATAAAGGCCTATAAAATACAATTTACAATGTAATGATTAAGAAAATATTTGGTGTTAAAAAAATTATAAGATAAAAGTAGCCAAGATAAATATGTAGAAAAATAAAACAAACAGAATAATTTCAATGCAAAGAATGCAAAAGAAATTTGCTGGATAGATCTATATTAAGCTATTAAGTGTAAATAATAAAATACAAATATAAACATTAAGGAATAAAAATTAGGTGTCTCCAGACAATACTGCTGGGCAAATAATAGACCTTTTACATGACCAAGATTAGATTTCAGAATAATGATTTTTCAAACCAGAAATGACAACTTCTTCACCTAGGAATAAATAATCTGCTCCATTCAAGCTGATTAGCAAGAGATGGAAATTTTTATTAAGTCATTATTCCTCCCAATACTAGCTAAACAGGAAGTGTGCGATGCCTGAGATATTAAAGAATTATTTCATCTATAAATAGAATGGGCACATTCGGATTTTCCCAGTTGTGGTATTTTTTTAACAGCAAATCCTAGAAAGCAGGCCTTCCACAGTTTTGATATCTTACATTGACTTATTACATTTTGTAAAACAAATGAAATAGTTAGACCCTAACTTACAATTTCTCCTAAGAAGTTAAATCAAGAAGCGAATAAGGAAATAGACTTTCCGGGAAAAGGTGATTTTCACTTTTCTACAGGATGTGCTTCAAAATAACTGCTGCTTCTTTCTTGAATACAATTTATCAATGCTACTGTCCAGCAAATAAATCTAACACTAATTTTAAAAGAACTAAGTACTGTAATTTGCACAGCAGTGATGATATAATAGGCACATAAGACTTAGAAGTAGCAAAGCATATTTTTTGTTCACACAGATACAAAGACTCATTATAAATTACACTGAAAATATTAAAGTTTTGAATTTGAATTGATTGCTTTGATTTGCTGGAAGTATTCCAATGCTGTTCTGATCACTCTGAAAATTTTCTTTTTTTTAGTTTGGAACAGCTGTTTTGTGCTTTAAAAGAGATCATTTCAGAGATAATTGCAAGAATTGTTTCAACTCAGACCCTTAGAAACACACAGGTGTTTTGGCCCTCTGACTGAAATCTGTATAACATTAGCTACATGGCATAGATAAATGAGAAATACCTCTTCTGATAAGAGGAGAACAGGATTGGGGAAGAATGGCAACTAACCACCCACAGCATCATATTTTATGGGACAGTTTTTAATTTATTTATTATATAACTTCATATATAATTATATACAAATACACAGTTAAATAATTTTATAACTAGAGATACAATTTTAACATTTCAATCTCTATACTTGTGTTTATACACACACATATCTCATATATCTTATTTTAAAAGTAACACTTGGGGTTTAACAATTACAAAATTATGTAACTATAAAAACAAATTTTATAACTACAGATAAGAGTGGTATCCAAGTAAATTTTTAAGTATGTTGACAGGCAATTGTATGTCTCATTTCATATTTAATTTGACTTTAATTATGTCTTCTTGAAGAAATCCTAACCAATATTAGTGAAATATACTTCTGGCTCATTTGGGATTCCTAGGGTACAAATATATTATTTTCTAATGCTTACATCCAATGACAGTTCAGAAGATAAACGTTTGCAATTAAGCAAGTAATAATATTTTTAAAAGAGCATTTACTTTGTTAATTACAAATGCTTACCAATAGCAGCTTTCCCCCAAATTTGTACCCTGAAGTCTGTGGATTCTTGTTGCAATGACATTTTTTTCAGCATCTGAAAGCTACTTGCAGATTTCTGCTGCAAATAAATTTTCTCATCAGCTTCCCAAGGATTCCATTCTTCAACTCCCAAAACATGTTCTAGGAATAGAAAATGAAAAATCACATGAAAATCTCAAGTGAATTGCCTCAAAAAGAAGCAGTTACTCCAAGATGCCTTTCAAACTGTTACAAACACATTTAGAACACATACTAACAACCAAGTATCAAAAACATATAAAGAAAACATCTACATTGATCACAGTATCTCCAAATAGAAACCTATTTGAAATCTTGAAAAGCCTTTGCCATTCAGGGCAGACAGGTAGTTTTCATTTTGAAACCAAAATTAGAACCAGCAATTTGATTATTAAGTGAAGCAATCTCCAAGTGAAACTGTGATTGATCTTTAGTTTTATTTTACTTTACATACCTGTGAAGACTGTAAACCCAAGCACTGGTTGCAGAGTTACTTTGTATCACTAAACCATTATCATTCTATATATGCAAATATTATTCAAGCACACATACTTGATATTAGTTGCTGGAGTAAGTCTCCCCAACTTGGATATCCTCTCTATGCTACACTGGCTACTTGGGCACCACTTAAGGCTCACTGTGCCTTCCTCATGTACTTTCCCTGAACTTTGTCTACCCCTGTGCAATCTTCCCAAGTTTCACTGGACCTCCCCTCATACCCTTCCTAAACTTTGCCAGGCCTCCTCTGCACACTCCCCAATTCCCACTGTGTTACCCACATACTTCTGTACCCATACACCCCCTCCCACCCCACAGCTTAATACTGCAACTGGGCATTGCAACTGTCATAAACATGGGTTTGTTGCTAAGTGTCTGGATTTTGATCACATGATACTGCAATAGTTCTAAGTATGAAAAATAGTCATGTCACTTTTTTCAGTGCCGTTGTTAACTTTGAACAGTCACTAAATGAACTTTTGTCCCAAAGATATTTTTTCAGGAGGCAACTGGACTTCCTTGTTTTTGCTTGAAGACTGAGCTCAAGAAGCTTCTTGGATGAGAAGCAAAACGTCTTCAAGAAAAAACTAGAAAGTCCAGTTGCCTCCTGAAAAGTACCTTTGAGACAACCATGACCGGGATGACTGAGAATCTCCACAGACATAAACAAACTGTTGTTGAGGACTGCCTGTATGGAAAACAGTGGGCATTACAAAAACCTAATTCATACATACCACCAAATGTGTACATGTATAAATGATTCCTCATTTAAAAACAGTGACTTCTGTTCTGTAACTTCTCCATATTCCACCAAATCTCATTATTTTAGAATAAAAAAAAATCCAGTGTAGGAAAGGATTTGCTGGTGGTCAGACCCTTATTCTAACTGTTCCACTGAAATCAGTATGTTGTACAATGTACAATATGATTAATATTTTTTTTTGTTTTAGTGGTGAATTAGTCTTGACTCCTGTTGACTTCCTGGAAAAATCCCTATAATTTCCTTGTCAAGATTTTTAAGAGGTTTGACATTGTGTGCTTCCTAGGGTTGAGTGAATGACTGGCCCTTTTTTAGCCTGATGTCTCAACTATCACACCAAACCAGCTCTCTTTATAAGAACATAACTGTGGCAAACTAAACAGACTACACACCCTTAGAAAAGATATACTGTAGGTTCAAAAGTGCAAATGGACCTGTTCTGCTATCTTTCAATTATTTTAACATTATAGAACAAATCTAATATATATTGTAACTTTCATATGAAAAGACATTTCATTAAAAAAATAAAGATGTCAGGGACTCTGGAGTGGTCCCGATGTTAATGCTGAAGCACTCACATCCTGAATTGTGAAAGTTGCAACATAACATAGCTAACTCAGTGGGAATATGCAAATCCCTTGATGGGATTATTTGAAGCTTTATATAACATATACAACAGAGAGGCCGATATCCTGGTTTGCCATGCACTGTGCTGCTTAATGCATCAGAAGAAATTGCATGTTTAAGCAGACAAGCCCTCGGCCGGAGGGATCTACTGAGTTCTGTCAGACTAAGGACAAAAAAGCGCTATTTCCACCTGAGGGTGCTAGGGCGAAGCGCCCACGTTTCGTTACCTCGCCCCTGCTTCTCCCGCTGGCCCGCTCGTGAGGCAGCAGGCCGGCGAGGCTTCAGGAAGACGCTGTAAGCCGCGTAGAGGGAAAAGACTAAGTATGCGACCAACAACGCGGAGCAGAGTCGCTTCTGAGTTAGCCGCATCCTTCACAGCCCAACTGGGGTAGCCATCTTGCGCAGGTGTGGAAGGGCTTCGCATCGTGACGCCACTCTTAGGCGGCTGATGTTTTGGCCTGACGCGAATTGAACTTGGATTTGCTTGCTCCATTGTATATTTTTTCCCAACGCGGCCGCTTTAAGATGTGTGAACTTCAACTCCCAGAATTCCCAAGCCAACGATCAGTCTTGGGAGTTGAAGTCCACGCGTCTTAAAGAGGCCAAGTCGGAAAAACATTGGCTCCTTTAGTAATGCCAAAAAGAGCTTGTTGAATAATAGTGTTGTTTCTTTCTTCACTGTGATGTATTTGTAACAGTCGTTAATAGTCGAGTATTGAAATCGCACTGTTTGGACGACGTTACATAAGAGAAACTTGCTATTATGGCTTGATTTCCTGAACTGATAACAGAATCGGTTCCCTATGTTACAACAGCTATATATTATAACAAATATTTGTAAAAGGCATTGTCAAAAATTCTTAGTTCAAAAATTTGTTTTGAGATTAAGTTTGTTTTGAGAGTAGTTTAAGCATAATAATAACTTATGTGGTAGTATTGCAAATGCAATATATAGGGCGGAAACACCAAATGATTAATACATTGCATCAAATATAATTTTAATTAATACATTGCAGTTTACATATATATAATAAAATGGTGTTTTTTTCAAATATGTTAATTACTACTGAACAGCTATTTCATTTGTTATTGTTTCAAGTTAGCTGAAGTCAAAATAATTTGTCTTCTGATAAATTGTTTTATTTTGGTATAAGAATTTAATGTTTTCTGATAGAATTTCAAGATGTGATCTCTTATCCAAATTCATTAAAAATCTTTTTTTAACTTGGTGGAATACCAAGTATTTACTGTCGTCCCCCACCACCCATACATGTAATTCCACAAATCTCCTGATGATTGTTGAAGTTAAGGGGGAGTGGGAGAAAATTCACTAACATAACAAAATATTACTTCTATTTTAAATTAGCAGTGGGGGGAAAGTAAAAGATTTTTTCTCCAGTGAATAATTTAAAATTAAATAGAAAACATTATATGTATGTATGTATGTATGTATGTATGTATTTCTATGTGGGTTAGCAAGAAGGAATTATTGTCAGTGGATTTTATAAGTCTTGGGAGCTGTTCTACACATATCTGATTTTTGATCCTGACAGGTTTTATAAGATGATGCCATCTCAACTTTACTTAGTCTTCTCTGTGCTCTTCAGGGATTCAGCATTATAACTTTATAGCATTATAATATAGGTTTTTTCCTCATCTCTCACCTGACAATTGCTTTTGAGTGCCAATTCTATAACACCTCTTCTGTAATTTTTCTGGTTGTCGGCTTGTTCACTGAGGTTACTGCTTTCTCTAATTCTTCTTCTGATGGACAATCATCTACTGTGGCCAGCTCCCCTTTTATTTTGCTTATAAAATATTCTTCCTCCTTTAGATAGCTCCTGTCTTCATACTTTATTTTTAAAGTACAATTTTAAGCATGGAGTTGCTAAAACATATGTACCACATTGGTTTTGGACAGGAATCTTTATTTGTGTCAGAAACACCTCAAATTATAGACATATAACATTCAACTGAGCAAATGAATAGATATAAATTAGGTCATAGAAATTTAGCCCTTGTTAAAAAGGGGGATATGAAAAGAACACTCCCCAAAGATTACATTACTTTTGACAATCGTCCACTGGGCAATGTTGTCACTGGCAAATCCTTTCAACCCAAAAAAGATTTGTATTTGGACAGTAATACAAACATGTTACAAATATTCCAAGTGACATTATATATAACTAATCTTTTTATTTTAGTTTTATTAAGAAAAATACTGTGATTATAAGTTTTCAAATATGGGACTCTTGCAGAAATTGTTTGAGTAAATGTATAATTAATTTTATCACATGATCATCACAAATGAAAAAGTGAGGTTTTTGTACAACTTTCTCAACATAAAAAATTCCTAAGCATACATTGCTGTAGTTCACAAGAGTAGGCATAAAATGTTTGGCATGAGCTTTAAACTAAAGCAGAAGGGGGAGGAGACAGAGGTGGAAGAGATAAACAGCAAGTAAGAATACTCAGAAATAAGTAAAGAAAAACATGACTGTAATAAAGATAATGATCTTGAATTCAAAAATAGTGAGATTTATTTTTTTAACAAAGTGCAAAAGAAGAGTTGTACCATTATGAAAGTTTATCATAGCTCAGACAGATTTCCAAGTTCTCAATAGGACAGCCCATAATTTTAACTATTCTGATATCTTTTGAAAAACAGCAAGAGTGGGTATTCAATAAATTTCTGGCTTCTCTTGGTGGCAGTTTAATTTTGAGAAGGTAGAAAAAGAAAGAAAGCGATCAGCTTTCTTGAATCTTATTATGACCAAGAGACATGAATTGATTGATGGGAGTGAAGGTGATAGGTAATTTGCAAAAAAATGGTTACATCATGCCAGAGATCAAGATAACAAGAAGAAAGGATGAGAGAGGTCAAACATTTCTGAAAGGCAAATGTTGATGAATTTGGATGATATATGGACAGCATATCATGGTGTTTAAAGGATAAACAAATTCAAATGGGATTGAACCTCTTTGCTTCTTTCAAACCCTAATGCTTTTCAACTTGCCAATGAACTTGTTCTGACCAAGGCTTCTTGAGACATTAATAAACACACGTTAGTCCCCAAAACCTTTTGTTTTATTTCAATGGCTGTGAATTATAATCATTCACAGCAGTGGTGGGATTCAATTTTTTTTTACTACCAGTTCTGTGGGCATGGCTTGTTTGGTGGGCGTGTGACTGGGTGGGCATGGCCAACTGGGCAAGGTGGTGTGCAGGGGTGGGATTCAACCGTGTTGCTACCGGTTCGGTGACTACGTTTAATTCATGCTACGTTTGGCGACCCACGCCACATCACCGCTACCGGTTTGCCTGAACCGGTGCGAACTGGTTGAATATCACTCTGACTCATAGCCTGTATTGAGTCTCAAACAGTTTGTAAATAGGCCAACAATTAAACTGCCAATTAGTCTGCCAAAGTCCTTCTGGATAAGTCTGATAAGAGCACACCTTTATCTTTCTTGAAATGCTGCCAACAATTAAATTGCCAATTATTTGTACAAGACCAAATGGAACATAAATTCAACACAGAGTTTCTGGTTTCAAACTGACCAGTACGAACAAAATTGTTTCCTGCAAAGGTTCATGTCCCTTTGCTCCTCCTTTATGTCCTATGGGAGGGACAATCACCTCTAAGCCTTACTCCTAAGTCACCCCTTTTGTCTTAACTGTTCTTACCTTCTGGCAGATATGCGCACATGCACACTGGTAACAGGCTCTCCCTGTTCTTCTGCCTCGCTGCTGTCAGATTCTAGAGGCTCCAGAGTCAGCACATAACTCCCAGATGGCTCCTCCCCACTGTCTGACTCTGCTGCCAGCTCCACAGGCTGCTGGCAGACCACAACAGAACTGGAGGAGGAAAGGGGAAAATGGAATGCCAAGAATGTATACCGAGATCATGAAAACATGGAAACCATCAAGGTCACTACTGCACTAAATAAAAATAAAAACGAATAAGGAGATACTTCGGGTCCTTTACTCCTGCTCCACACACACCTCTGCCCAAGCTTTCAGAGTTAACTGCAGCTTTGACAATCAAAAGTTTATCCTCCTCTGCATACTCTTGGCTATGCAGTAAAAAACCCAAACTAGAAGGGAAACACATGCAGCAGACTTTAACCTCCCAGAGACTTAAAACATGGAAACTTCCCTTGTATCACCAGTCCCACCCACAAGATGTGGCAGCCAAACAATGCTAGGAAGATTTATACAGGCCTGGTACTATTTTTCCACATATTCAGGATAATCAGGTGATGAACATTCAAGAAGTAATAAATATGACAAATGTATGGCATATTCTGGGTCTTTTGGTTTTTACTACCAGGAGCTCTCAAAAATTTTAATCTATTCATATTGTAGTCATTAACAGTTTGTCCTCTGTTTACAAACACACTGTATTGAAACCAGTGGCGGGATTCAAATTTTTTTACTACTGGTTCTGTGGGGGTGTCTTGGTGGGTGTGACATGTCTTGGTGAATGTGGTGTGTCGGTGGGCATGTTGTGTCTTGGTGGACATGTCTTGGTGGGCATGACAGGGGAAGGATACTGTAAAATCTCCACTCCCACCTCACTCCAGGGGAAGGTTAGGGCAAAATCCTATTCCCTCCCCACCCCACTAACCTGATTTCCAGCTCTGTTCTCCTGTGCAGGGCAACAAAAGAAGACCCAGCCAATCAGCTGGTACTGGGGAGGCAGAGAATAGATGGGGCAGGGCCAGTCAGAGGTGGTATTTGCCGGTTCTCCGAACTACTCGAAATTTCCGCTACCGGTTCTCCAGAACTGGTTAGAACCTGCTGAATACTACCTCTGACTGAAACTAACTTGTGATGTGTGAAATGCAATAAAGTGTGTTGTGTGTGCTAAGAATAATGATTCATAAGGATATGTTCCTGGGCTGTGAAGTGAAATAGCATGGCAGCCTGCCATTAGCCAATGGAAACATTTCAAAAGAGTATCCTCTGGTGAACTTAATTTTTCTCAATATTTGATTTTAAATGAAACCAAGCTTATGTAAGAGCCATGAAGAGTTGGAATGCTCAGTCGCTTTGATCTGCAATCGCTTTGATCTGGAAATGTGTAACCCTGATATGAAACATCTTGATAGAGATACATGCCACGTACCATTTCTATGTACACCATCCTTATTTCAGGAGTT